CTTGGGGGGCCACATCTGGCCCCCGGGCCTTAGGTTGCCTACCCCTGGGCCACACTTTGTTGCCACCTACATTCTACATTTTGGGTGCCTTCTTATGGGCTTACAAGTTAAACCACCAGCTTCAAACATCTCGTCAAGACACAAATTCGGTCCTCTGGGATGAATTTGCTACAGGTGAAAAATCTAGACTGCCAGCTACTTCCCAGAGGGCCTTCTTGATGACCGCTCCCAGACTATGGAACAGCCTACAGGACGGGATCCGTCCTATGTCGACCTTAGACAGCTTCTAAAGGGTTGTCAATACGGATCTCTTCCGGCTGGCCTTTCCCAACTAGTCCTCCTGGTCATAGAACCTGCCCATCTGCACCACTTTTTCTTCGCCCTATTCCAGCCGCTATTACTGCCGTCATTATAGTTATTGTATTTGTCGGCACTTTGCCTTATTTTTAAATTGTTTTAACTGATGTTTGTTTATAACTTTTTAAGGGGTGGGAGGGTTGGTGTTTGGGATTGATCTTATTGTGTTGTGTTTTTATGTTGGAAGCTACCCCAATTGCTATGCAGAGGGGCGGGGTATAAAAAATATTGTTATTGTTATTATTATTATTATTATTATTATTATTATTATTAAATTGCTTATGGTCTACATGATGATTATGGTGATGATGGTGATGATGATAACGATGATATTTCTATTTATTTCTATTCCACCTTTTTCCCAGTTCAGGACTCAAAGTGGCTCACAAGTTTAAAAAACAAAACAAAAATAGCTTCATTAAAAATTCACAAGATACAAAAGTTAAAACAAGACTGATCAAGCAAAAAAATTAAAACCAGGTTAAAATATGTATCGTTACATACAAACACACACCAGCACAACAATTAGCATGATCCAGTGCATTGTTTTGATGAGACTGGCCTTATCCAGTCACTCCACAAATGTTTGTTCTTCCCCTACTTGAGCTGATCCTCTTTCAAGTCAGATTTCTTTCCCCGACCCAGACAAACACATATCTATCCCCTAACCTTCTTA